AAGGGTCTCAAGTTATAGCCACAGAAACTACTTGACTCAGCAACTGAGAAAAGCCTTTACCTTAGTGGAAACTTCTGCATATCTATGTAATACATGGATCCATTAGTACAGCCCAATAATAATGAAGATCCCGCTGTGTCGTAGCAGGAAATGGCCACAACATCTGAAGAACTTATAATAAGGCTATTAAGCAAGAAAATACTTCAGGAAATTCAACACGTATGGGCCAGTTTGTGCAATGTGATTATGCGAAAACAAAACCAAATGTATTCAGTTTCAAATAAGCCCAAACACTGCTTGTCGTAAAGTCTAGAATCTCTCTTTCCTCATAGCAAGTGATAACCAGAAGAAGTGTGAGGAAAGTAGGAGAAGTAAGCTATACCTTGCACTTGCCAATTGTGCGTCATTGAATGCCATATGCCCACTTTCCCCGTTCTGCTCAACGCTACCATTTGGCTACCAATGAAAAATAGCTTATCCACAGCTACAGATAGCGAAAATGTGCCTGGAAGACGTAGCTGCTTTCATAAAATCACAAGGATAAGAGGGCAGATGATTAGAATGGAGGGAAAAACCGATGAAATATTTACAACAAGACGTAAAGTCAAATAGATTGGTAGTACGAATAAACTGACCAATTTTTGCAGCGCTGTCCCCTTCCTCCAAAGCCCAAAGTAGAATATTTCCATTTGCTAATGCTACAGCCACCATCCTATCCGTGTTCTAAAACAAGGGCGCTCACAATGGGATAGAATCAAGAGTGCAACTTACCTGAGGTCCAAACTTTGTATTAAGCGCTACATGCTTAATTAACGACTCCATTCGAGGTGTACTGTACACACTTTGCCATCCTAGTGACTCTTTCATGCTAAATTTCAAATGGTAAGCAATAAGTGCTTATTTCCGTGAACTTAACCTACCGATAAACGCAAGCATAGTAGGCATATCCGACTATGATGGAGTTGTGGTGAGCTTTGACAATTCGCACTCGTAAAGGATCTAGCTCATCTTCCGATGGTGAACGAGTTTGATGCTTGAGCTGCGATAGTTCATTGCGAATCTGAAAATTTAGAAGTTTCCAAGTTATTACTAAGCATAACTGTTTACTGTGATGTCTAACTACTTACATATCTAGCCAGCTCATATGAGCTCTTCTTGCAATGCCCATAGATTCGTGGTGTGCTATGTCCGCT